AAAGTTAGAATCAATCTATAGGGTTGTCTAGTGAGGAAACTTGCCCATCTCTCTGCCCATGATTTTGATAGAAGCAAACTGCCCAGGTGCATGATCTGCTGGCTCCTGGGTTCTGCTGGGATATGTCTAACCCTCCTGATAGTCCACAGACACACAGGATTAGTGTACAGGTCACCTGATAGATTGTGCAAGCTCATTAGATTCCCCAAGTCTCTGTGTCTGGGGGCACTTAGTAAAGGGAGAAGCTTCCTGGCAACTTCTTGTGTTTGGTGTTGAGCTTCTGCCAATGATTTAATGCCCTCCCCCACCCCGCCCTGTTGCTGAATTGGATGATTAAGTGGCGATTTATCAGAAGGTATAGCAGGAAAAACTTGTCGTCATTGCTAAGATCTCAGAAACTAGGTAACCGCAAGTTCCTGGCTTAATGGTGATAAAAATAAAGGGCATTTTCAATTTTTTTTTCATTTTCAATTTTTAATGTCCGTACGTCCTGCTCCTGGGCTCCCAGGGAAGCTATACTTTAATATCTATCAAGGTCAACGTGACTTGGCAAAATCTCAGAGTATGGGACTTATTTCTGCCATGAACATACATCATACATCTGATTCGTTTAAAAAATAACAAAAAAGGAGCATTCCAAACACAAAGATAAGAAAAAGAAAAAAAACCTCCCTGGTTCCCATAATTTTTAAAGCCATACAGCCTTGCGTATACTAGAAGCTTAAGATAAGGCCTGCATCTTTCTGAAATGTCCTTTGTCTAATGATTTGTAACTTTTTAATGTATGCCAAATGTTTCCTCACCAGAGCACTCTCTTCTTTGTGAAGATTGTGTATCTTGGGCAGCTGTCCTAGCCTGGGTTCAAATAAAACTCTTTCTTTTAAAAATTCTAAAAGATTTGTTCAATTTGCATCGACATTTCTTGGTATTGTCAGCAGGATGTCAGAGCCATGTTCATGAGATCGCCGGGGGTTCTTCTGGAACTCAGGCTTGGTACCAGCACGAGCCCATGGTGCCCTTCCAACTTCCCAGCAGCTCACAGGTGTATCAGGTGCGTTCTCCTGCTATCTGAACCTCCTCAACTGGAGTTGATGGTCCTGACTTTTATTTGAGCTGTTGAGGGCTACCAGTAATATCCTCTAGGCGGAGATATCCCAGAGGGGTTGGAGCTGATGGGCTGGTTGTTTTAATTTGGCATTTTGCTAATGGACATTATTAATATAAGGCTTGACTAAATTTTCTGGCAAGAAATATGACAGATTGAATCACTTGGCTCCAAATACAACGGACACTTACTTGCTCCTTCAGGGAAAATGGTGCTTTCAGGTGACTGGAAGCCTTGGGGATGTGTCTCTGGAAACTTCCACAGGCTTGACAGCTAGCGCATGGGGATCCTCTCCTTGCAGGTGCTTACTTAAGTGGGAAATTTTCAGTAAGGATAACCTGAGTCTCAGATGGCCTAGATGGGACTCTTTTGACATGTTTGAATTAGTTTTCTTGTGCACAAACTTAGAGAAAGCCAATTATAAGACTAAACAACCAGAAGCGAGGAAGCCATTTGGTTCAATCAGTGAAGCCCCCAACTTTGGGGCGGAACCAATGACCAATAGAGGTACTCTTTTGGTATCTTTGGACAAAACTGGTCATGTTCTAATTGAAAAATGGAAAATGACTCATTCAAGGATCCATAAATTATAATGTTACCTTGTGATTAGATTTGTTTGACAAAAGAGAGATATTGGGAAATTGGGGTCTGTAATGTCTTCTCCACAAACATGAGTGAAATGAAGGCTAGACTTCAGTTGCATCTTGTTTGTGTATATGTGTCCACATGTGTTATAAATGTGAGATATTTTCTGTACCTCCGGATGGTATTGCTAATAATTCATTTGTAAAAGAGTTCTGTTTAATTGGCTTTATGGCAAACACTTGTAAAAATTGGGCATTCTAAAACTCAGAAGAATAAGAACTAATCCACATGTTTTTCAAGTTCATGTGATCCGGGACAATCTTTGATAAATTAAAATTCAAGGGTTTTGGTAAAATACACAAGTCTTTAGAATTGTCAACATTAAATTTAAAACTTTTATTTTACCAAGGTTCACTGAAGGTCAAATAAACTCTTTATCTCTGTTGCAATTTGTCAGCGAAGATTACTTAAAATGATGGTTGATTTGTCTGTCTCATGAAGTATTCATGGGTAATTGTTAAGAGCAAATGGGTTGAATAAATAAAAAGTGTTTTAATAAAGTATAATACTGAAATGTTAATTACTAAACATAAGTTTCTTTGCTTTTGGCTTCTTATCACAGAGAAACTAAAGATAAATTTGGGTCTGCCAATAAACATGTTGTATGTTTTATTGACAACTGTGCTTTGAAAAAATGCTTTTTTAGAAATTATGAAATGTCCATAAATTGGCCAATTTAAAGAATTCTGATGTAACAGACAGTTCACAATTGGTTACTACTTAGTTTTCACTGGAAACTGAAGTTTTTAAGAGTTAAAATTCTGATAAATGTGATTGAGACTGTTGGAAATAATACTGAAAGCAACTCCGCATGTAGGAATTTGGAAGATACAGAAGAAAGGTATAAGGAATGAGGATATATTTTTGTTGAGGAAAACAATTGTCTTGAAATGAGAATTTGTTGTTTAGAGAGGGAAAACTTAGGACAAATTCTAAGTGAAAAAAGAAAGTTATAAAAGGTTTGAGAAGGAGAATCTTTGGAAAATAATTTTATACACTGTCAGGACTAATATTGCAATGAGTGAATTTTAAAAGTACACTACTATAAGATTGGAATTTGGTTTTTCTCTCTTAGACTTTTTAAGACTAAGTTTTCTTGGCTTGTTGGTCTGGTCTTGATAAGAAATTCTAATCAAAGTTTTTTATTTCTGCCCAGAAAAAGCAAAGTTCTATGTTTTGTCTTCATCAGTTTTTTGATTACTTAAGAAAACTAAAACTTCTCAATATTTAAAGAGCTGAATATTGTTAACAACTATGTATTCTGTATTTGCTTTTAGACTCTCTTATGGCCACCTTTGTTAAAAAGATTAAGGTTTTCTTTTTTTGGACTAATTGTAAGTTTTATGTTCTGTAATGATCTGTAATCCTATTTTTAGGCATGTACTCTAGAAACTTCTGAGGTTCTTAATAAACTACCCTCCAATTCAAATTCTAAATGAAATATTTTTGATTAATTAGGCTTGTTTGTTTGGTATATTAAGTTACATAGGAAGCATTGTCAAACAAATAATGATAAACCTTCTTAGGCTATATTGTGTGGGTAAATGCTATAACTGTTGCAAAAATTCTTTAAAATTCCTAAAGTTTTAATATGTCCTGGTATAATATCATCACTTGAAATTCTACTTATTGAAATGTTGTGTTGAATGTTGAAATTTGGAAATAACCAAATTTCCTTGTCAAGTTTATTTCAATGCACTCCCATCAGACTTTAACCATGGACATTTTTGAGTCTTTTGTCATTTACAGTTATTGTCCTGATGCTCTTGCAAATCTGTTTCAGCTTCAAGGAGATTCACAAAAAGGACTGTTGATGAACTCAGGTTTCTATATCTTTAAGATCATAAAACTAAACTGGGAAGGAATTTCCAGAACTAATGGAAAAATTACATTCAAACAGAATGGGAATTAATAACATGAGGCTGAATGAATTGAAAAAGATGATTATAGTTTTTATGAGTTTTGTTTAAACATTGCTTTTTCTCTAGTGTTAGCTCTTCCAGATTCAAGGAAACCTTTTCTCCTAATCCAAGTTAATAGAAATTTGATAAAATATTCCTTTGTAAGCAAATAGAAACATTTATCTTTTCTCCCTATCGAAACCCTCCTGAATTCAGAAACTCTGAGTGTTCTTTCTCTCAAGGCAATTATAGTCATTTACATAAATCCAATGAGAATCTGTTCACCTTGTAACAGGACACCATTGAAAACATTGGCTGTATTACCAAGGCTTTAACTGGAATATCGTATTTGAGAGACACATGAGTCGACTCAGATATGACTGGAGAGCTTTAAGGAACTAAGGTTGACTTTATGGAGTCAATAAAGCCCCTTGAAAATGTTGGCCTGATACCTTGCTCATAGAATTCCCAGAAGCCTTACCAGGTGAGTAAAGGTTCCTGGCAGATGCAGGAACCTCAGGATATTTTGGGGACCTTAGGAAGAGAGGAATTCACCCAAAGCTGCAGGTATTGCAGGTGAATCTGATGGTAAGTATTTGGTATAGCTTTTGGCCTCGAGAGGCTATTAAAAATTCAATGTGAAATTCCTTATAAAAAGTTCCAGCAAAGCAGATTTTTAAAAACCCATTTGGTCAATATCACTATTCTTGCTGTAAATAATTCAGCTAAATTTGTTAAAAATGGACTTTTTTCTTTTTTTTACAAAAATGAATTTGTTTTAATTTGGCTATCTTTACAGTGCCTTTAGGGAGAAAAATTAAGTTTCAACAACACATCTTTGTAGATGTTGGATTCTAGTTCTGATTAATTATCTTTGAATGTTTACTGTGTGCCTGTAAAACTGGGCTGGATTCTGAATTCTTCTGGTTTCCTCAAATACCTGCCTATGACCCTCCGAATAAAAGTTTCCAATTTTCTCCCATTCTCTTGACTTGGAAGCACTGAGACCTAAAACCGTCTTTTTCCCTAAAGACCCGCAGCCTGAGGCGAGACAACCTGAAGTAAACTTCGGAAAAATTTCTACAACAGCTCAACATATAGATGCAATGATTATTTTCCTGTTTTGAATCATTCTCAAATTCCTCAGATCAACCGTAGTGAATGTATTTTTCTTTTGAACATCACCGTGCTTGATCTGATGATATTTTACTTAGGATTTACAAACTCTAATCTTAAAAGTGGTATTCATGTCTCGTTTTCTCATGTGTTGTCTTTATCGGGTTTTATGAATGCATTTTTGTAATGAGTTGTGTTGCTTTAAAGGAGCAGGCCTGGAAAGAGAAGCAGATATGCTGAAGGAGCTCCATCTCTTCCTGTTGGTCGTCCTGCTGCTTGTCTGTGCCTTCTTCTACCAGCTAAGCCTGAAGTCCAGCTGCTTCTTCTGCCTTCCTCCCCAACAGTTAGAGCAGGACCCAGGAGCCCTCCTGGGCAATGGGCACGGCATTGTGTTCATAGAGACCTCGGAGAGAATGGAACCAACTCCACTGGTCTCTTGTGCTGTGGAGTCTGCAGCCAAGATTTACCCCAGGCAGCCTGTGGCATTCTTCATGAAGGGTCTCTGCAATACCACACGGCTGCCCTCCAACTCCACTTACCCAGGCTTTTCCCTCCTCTCAGCAATAGACAATGTTTTCCTCTTCCCTTTGGATATGAAAAGGCTGTTTGAAGACACACCATTGCTTTCATGGTACACTCGCGTAAGTGTTCAGAGAATCTTAGAATGACCGCATTGGGAGCAACTGCAGACAATGAGTCCAGTCTCCCTTATTTTATGGATTGGTAAACTGAGCCCAGGGCTCAGTGTCAGACATGGGACTAGAACCCAGATCCTGGCCTTGATTCTATAGCACTGAGTCCTGATTCAAATAAACAGGAGAGACTTAAGTCAGGTTTCTCTCTAGCTTTGTGTCTTATGCCTCCAGCCTTATTTCTTAAGAATGAGGTTTCTTTTGAGACTATCCTTAACTGAATGAGTTTCTGTGTCTTTTCTGGAGGTATAACCACTTATTTTTCATTTACTTAAACCCATCTATGTAAAACTTTTTTTTTTTTGTATCTGAATGGGAAACTAGGCAATATTTAATTTGAAAATGATGTGAATAGAAAATTCGTGAAGAATCAGGTGGAGTGCTGCTATATGAGATTGAGTTATATTAAGATATGACCAAGAAACTTCTGGAGCTCTTGAGAATTTTGTAATCTTCCCCTCAGTAACATAGCATAATATGGAAATAATATTTCAAATTAAATATTTCTCTCATAGAGGACCCACGGTCGGATAATGCTTAAGGAAATTACAGTAGAACCACTCAATAACTCCACTATGCAGGCTTTAGCTGGGAATGTTATGAAGACTATAATACAATCTGGAATAAATACACTTATATTATAATGTGATTGTAATTATTTTAGCTACGTACCACCTCACTCCCCACCCCACTGCCCCCCCGGCCCCGTCCACGTGGAAGAAAAAGACCTAAGGAAAATAACACAATATCAGGTTGTGTGATTGGATTAAGAGTACATTTAGTGATGAGAACATGTTAATTTTAAAAATAAAATTACTTAATAAAACTAAAAAGTAATTTAAAAATCGATATCAAAATAATACCATTTGCTTGTCATATAAAGTCCTTTTTGAGTTCTAATCGTAGGCTAGACCAAATGGCAGCAAACATTTTCACAGTAAAGTGCCAGATTGTAAATACTTTAGGCTTTGCAGGCCCAGAGGCAATAGTGAGGCCATTATGCAGGTACTCGTGTTACTTTCCTGTGGCTGCTGTAACAGATGACCATAAACGGAGTGACCTAAAACAGCAGACATTTGTTCTCTTACCATTATGGAGGCCAGAAGTCCCAAGTCCACATCACTGGGTGGATGTCAAGGTGCTGGCCAGCCCCAGTTCCCAGGGAGGCTCTAGGGAAAAATCTTTCTTGTGGAGATCTGCGCATTTCCCTTTTCTCTCTCTGAACTTTCCCTCTACGTCTTTCTTTAAAGGATACTTCCTTTTTTTTTTTTAAGATTTTATTTATTTATTCATGAGAGACACAGAGAGAAGCAGATACATAGGCAGAGGGACAAGCAGGCTCCCTGCAGGGAGCCTGATGAGGGACTCGATCCCTAGACCCTGAGATCATGCCCTGAGCTAAAGGCAGATGCTCCACCAGTGAGCCACCCAGGTGTCCCTAAAGGATACTTCCAATAGCATTCAGGTACATCAGGGGAACCCAGGATAATCTCTCCATCTCAAGATCCTTAATGTAATCACATCTGCAAAGACCCTTTTTTCATATGAGGTGACATTCACAGGTTCCAGGATCTAGGACCTAAGGTCTTTGAGTGGCCATTATTCAGCCTACCATCCTAGGGGGAAGATGCCCTTGCATCTACTTACTGTCAACTAGAGGCATTTTCTGGACTAAGCTCCAGACCAGTTTTACTCTTGGCCCCATGTGACTTCTAGATCCCAGTGTGCCCATCTCTTCTCTGGAGGAGCCTGGGAGTCTTAAATCGAGGCTCATCAGGAGGCCATGGAACAGCTCGAAAGACTGAGATTTCATCTGCAGCTGCCAGCAAGGGGTCCCCAACAAAAGGTGGTGATCAGCATGGGCCCCTGGGAGCTGGGGGGCGGGGTGCAGGCCAGGGAGGCAGGCCCTGTGGCTCTCAGGGCTAGCCTGCTAGAGAATGTTCCAGGAGGACTACACCAGCACAGGCAGTGCTTTGGCCTACTTTCCCCACACCTGGGCTAAGTGAACATTACCTAAACTGTGCTTTGCTCCTGGGACAAATCTCTGCTCAAATTGTTTTGGAAGATGCTGCATATTACCTGCTGCCTTTTTTTCCCCACCTCGCAGACCACTCATAGACATGAAGAAATTAAAGCCTCTGTAGTTCTAAACTAAAGAAACATTCATTTGATTCAACCTAACATTTTCCAAACTTATTTGAGCCTGGATATCTTTCTCAGTTGGACATTAATGTTTTCTTGGAGCTGATGTTCCATAGAGCACAGTTTAGGTCCTCTGAGTTGCACTTCAATTTTACAAGTGTTGAGTTTTGGGAACAAAGTAGGCCCTGGGACACAGAGCCCTAAGGCCCTGCCCCATCTGAGCCTGCAGGGTAGTACACCAGACCGTGTGTCTGCAGAGATCACACCATGATACCTTAGGGGTGCTGGCCCATGGCATGTTCTGCCCCAGTTAGGCCACCTCAGGATAGCTGGGGGCCAGCTCTTGGGGATGGCCCAATGTGCCATCACTTGCTGGTGCCCACTGGGTTTGCTGCACTGACTTGGCAACTGTAGCTCTGGGAGATGCCAGGGGTTGAGTACTGTGGGGTGGGGAGGGGCTGAGTAGCATGACCCCTAATCCTCTTCTAGTGCTCACCCCCAATGGAGCTCTTGTGTTTTAGGTTGATGTTAGTCCCATGCTCACAAAAAGGCAGATTTCTTCCTCCTCTTGTTCTGTGTGGCTTTTGATATCCTATGTCTCTGGGGCTGTTCACTAACAATCGCCAATTTACAAAATAATCAACTTTACTTATTTCTACTAAACCTTGTTTCTTTTGAACAAATGGATCTCTGGAGCTAGACTGCTTGGGTTCAAATCCAGTCCCTGCCTCTCTCACCTTGGACAAATTACTGAACATCTTATTGCTTTCAGCTTTTCACTTGAAAAATGGGAATAACCATAATGCCAGTGTTGAGTATTTGTGTACATTATGAAGAGCTTGGAATAGTTTTTGATGCATTTTTGCTATTATTATTTATGAGGTTTTCAGCCATTGTATATAATTCTGGTGAAGTTAATGACTTGTGTAAAGATTTCTGCAAAGTATTAGTTGACCTGCTTGCATTTGACTTTACAGCAGAGTTTTTTTTTTTTAATAGTAGAGTTTTAAAGAATGTTTATTTTGTCAAGGGCAAATGTTTAAGTACAATCCTTTTTTTAAAAAAGATTTATTTATTTTGGAGAGAGAGAGATAGAGAGAGAGGCAAAAGGAAAGAGTTTTAGTAGACTCTTTGTTAAGCACAGAGCCTGACATGGGTCTCAATCCCATGACTCTGAGATCATGACCTGAGCTGAAACCAAGAGTCAGACACTTAACTGTGCCACCCAGCGTCCTTGTTTATGTTTCATCTTTTAATCAACATATTTCAATTCAGAAAAATCTATTTTGGGTGCATCTGGATGGCTCATTTAGTTAAGTGTCTAACTCTTGATCTCAGCTCAGGTCTTGATCTCAGGGTCATGAGTTCAAGTCCCGTGTTGGGCTTCCACACTGGGCATGGAGCCTACTTAAAAAAAAATCCATTTTGTTTTCTCAATTCAAAATTTTAGCATTCCATTTGGAATGTTGCCATTTATAGTGATTAATTTTTATTGCTTTTAGAGTCATTTTCTGTTTTGCTCATGTTTCAGCATTTGCAGTCATCCTTGACTTCTATCTCCAACTCCAGTCCAATCCATCTGACCAGCTTCATCCTTACTGTGTGCTCAGAAGCTGACCACTTCCACAGCCTTCCTAACTTGCCTTTGTTCTTCAGCCCTTGCCACCTCCCAAGCCCCACCCCTGTTGTCCACATAGCAGCCAGTATGAGCCTTTTAAGACTAAGTCAGGTCACTCCCTTCTTCCAAACCTTCCAAGTAATTTCCGTCTTTACCGCAGCCTGTGTGACCCGCCCTTCCTCCCCACCCATCCCTCTCTGCTCCCATCTCCTATCCCTCTCCTTCACTACTCTGCTTTGGCCACACTGCCTCTTTTCCGTTCCTGTACACAATGAGTGTGCTCCCACCCTGGGGCCCTTGCACTTGCTGTCTTCTACCTAGAACCCTCTTCTCTGAGATATTGGTATGGTTCACTCACTAACTTTATTCAGGTTTCTACTGGAAGCCAAGATAAGATAGGGCTCCACCCTGCCCCCTTATCCAGGTTTTTATCCTTCACAGTCCTTGTGAACACCCAACATATTATGTATTGATTTGTTTATTGTCTATCTCCACCCAGTAGGGATTTTTGTCTGTCTGTTTACTTCTATCTCCTTAGCAACTGTAACAAAGCTTGGCGCATAGCAAGTTGTCCCTCAATGAATATTATTAAAAGAATGAATTAATGAAGGAATACATGCATGCCCTTTTAAGATTCTTCTTCTTCTTCTTTCTTTTTTAAGAAGATTTTATTTATTTACTCATGAGAGACACAGAGAGAGACAGAGACACAGGCATACAGGTAGAGGGTGAAGCAGGCTCCATGCAGAGAGCCTGATGTGGGACTCGATCCCAGGACCCAGGGATCACAACCTGAGCCAAAGGCAGACGCTCAATCGCTGAGCCACCTAGGCGACCCTCTTCTACCAATTTCTTAAAGAGCATACATATTGGTCTGTTAGATAGTTTCCTAGTTTATTTTTTTCTTTATTAGTTTTCAGCATTTTTAGGGTTTAAAACATTCTTCCTTCACAGTTTCATATTTGTGGTTAATGTACCCCCTGCTGAAAATGCCTCAAAGGGTTTATTGTGAAATCCTTGCTGGATTTCTTCTTTATCATTCTACTGCTTCAGTTTTTTAAAAAAACAAATGCACAAAATTTAAGAGCTGCTAAAATCTTCCCATTGTTACTGATTGCTGTAAACTTTCCACTTAAAGGCAAATTTGGAGGTGGAGGTAACTTTGGTAAATTTGCAGAACTGGTCTTTTGTCCAGTTGATCTTTGAGAAGCTGGCTTGCTTCCTTCTCCTCAGCTACCCTGGGCTGGCTTCTCACTGTGACACCCTCCCTTTCCCCTGCTGCTGTGGCTGATTTGTTCATGTTCCCGCAGATCAACGCCAGTGTGGAGAGCAACTGGCTTCACGTCAGCTCAGATGCGTCCCGCCTGGCCATCATCTGGAAGTACGGCGGCATCTACATGGACACGGATGTCATCTCCATCAGGCCCATCCCTGAGGAGAACTTTCTGGCTGCACAGTCTTCTCGGTACTCTAGTAACGGGGTGTTCGGGTTCCTCCCCCACCACCCCTTCCTGTGGGAGTGTATGGAAAACTTTGTTGAACACTACAATTCAGAAATCTGGGGCAACCAGGGTCCCAATTTGATGACCCGGATGTTGAGACTGTGGTGCAAACTCAGAGACTTCCAGGAGGTGAGTGACCTCAGGTGTTTGAACTTGTCCTTCCTGCACCCCCAAAGATTTTACCCCATCTCCTACCCAGAGTGGAGGCGCTACTATGAAGTCTGGGACATGGATCTTAGCTTCAACGACTCCTATGCTCTGCATCTGTGGAACTACATGAACAAGGAAGGAAGGACTGTGGTCAGAGGAAGCAACACGCTGGTGGACAATTTGTGCCGCAAGCACTGTCCCAGGACTTACAGGGACCTGATTCGAGGCCCAGAAGGGGGGACACCTGGGAAGCTGGGTCTAGGTAACACTTAGGGCTGACGCTGGGTCATTGCTGCTACGTTGTAGATCTGGACACTTCCTAGAGCGGCAGCTTTGTGTTCATGCCCATGTTGCCCAGGATTACAATCAGCTTTCTCTGTCTGTAGTAGAAAAAATCCCAAAGACCACTAGTGTGTAAAATACAGAAGCGTATTTCTCTCTCATGTAAAAGAAGTCTGAAGGCAAGGTGATTGGTGGGGGAGGTACGGTGGAGGAGTATGGCCATCAGGGACCTGGGTTTCTTGCATTGTTTTGTTTGACATTTGTCATCCTTAGTGTCCATAGCCCATGGTCCATACTGCTGCTTGATCTCCAGCCCATTATATCTGCATTTCAAGCAGCAGCAAGAAGGAAGGAGAAGGTGCACCTCCCTTATTTTATGAAGATTTCCCACAAGGACCTTCTAACACTTCCCCTTCCATCTCACTGGTCAGAGTATAGCTGCAAGGGAGGCTGAAAATTTTAAGGAGGAAGAAAAAATGAGTGTTAGGAGAGGCAGCTAATGGTTTTGCTAACATGTTAAATTTACTTCTGTAAGATTAGTTTTAGGATCTGTTAGATAATTGACTGGGGAAAAAGGGACTTGATTTCTGGTCTTAATTTTGATATTCATGAATGTATTCAGTCAGTGAGCATTAATTGAGTCTCTTCTGTGTGCTAAGCACTGATTTAGTTGTTGAAGATACGGGTGGGTCAAACAGACAAGATTCTGGGCTGCAGTAGCAAAGTATCATAGACGGGGTGGCATATAAAAAACAGAAATGTACTTCTCACGGTTCTGGAGGCTGGTCATCTAAGATTAGGGTGCCAGCATGGTTGGCTTCTAGTGAAGATCCTTGTCCCGTGGTGAGGGGCACTTTTCCTGTTGAATCTTCATGTAGTGGAAAGGGTCAAGGGAGCTCTCTGGGGCTCCTCCCTCCTTTTAAAAAGATTTTATTTATTTATTTGAGAGAGCGACAGAGCAAGCATGAACAAGGTGGTGGGGGGATGGGCAGAGGGAGAGGGAGAAGCAGACTCCCCTCTGAGCAGGGAGCTGATGCGGGGCTTGATCCCAGATCATGACCTGAGCCGAAGGCAGATGCTTAACCACCTGAGCCACCCAGGCGCCCCTCTGGGCTCTGTTTTATAGAGGAACTGATCCCACTCATGAGGGCTTCACTTTCATGACCTAATTACCTCCCAAAGGCCCCACCTTCTAATAGCATCACATTGAGGCATGGGATTTCAGCATATGAATTTGGGAAGGACATGAACATTCAGTCCATTGTAGGTCCCTTGTACTTACATCCTTATGACTGGCCACATCGCCCTCTGATAGCCTCTTGCCTTCCCAGGGTGTCTGCTATCCCCTACCCTATCTCAATTGGCTCATGAAAGCAAATTACAAATTCCAGTTTTTATAAACCACTTCTCTTTAATAATCACATAAACATTTATCTCCTCTTTTTAGGATGCAAGAGAATCAATATTTCTTCTACAAATATTCATCAACCAAGATTTTCTAGCACTTTCCTTTTGGTAATTGGCTTTATGATGACAAAAATATGGTTTTTTTTTAAAGCTACAACCCCCCATCCCCTTTCATTCTGATATTTCCCTCTTTGAGAATCACTGCTAATGACAGTCTTATTAAAAAATATTCACAAATCATGTCACCTCCCCAGCTGTATTTATTCTTGGCTACTTGCTTTGGATTCTTAGACATCTGACACCATGGTCAGATTTTGGGGCCTGCTGTTCCTCTTCACAGCTACTTTCTGAGTGTGTCGTCAGAACCCCTGCTGGTTTTCAGCTCTCCTGATTGCCTCCACAGGTGAAGGATTTTCAGGGCCAGCATTTTCAGGAAGGACAGTCACACGCATTGGATATCCTTTCTACATCTGGAGAATATATGAAAATGTCTTTCCAACTAACATTCCCAAAGGTTTCCAAAGGTTTTAAATGGTTTGATTAGGAATAGTTTTAATATTTCTTTCTTTTTCTTTTTCTTTTTTTTTTAGGGAGAGAGTGAGAGCTCATGCACCATGAGAGCAGGGTGAGGGAATTGTGGGGGGAGTAAAGGGAGAGAGACAGAGAGAATCTTAAGCAGGCTCCATGCCCAGTGCAAGCCTGAGGTGGGGCTGGAACTCACGACCTTAAGATCATGATATGTTCTGAAATCAAGAGTCTAAGGCTTAACCTACTGAGTCACCCGGGTACCCCAGGAATAGTTTTATTTATGTATTTTTATTTTATTTTTTTCAGGAATAGTTTTAATATTTCAAAAATTTATGTATTGTTTCATGATGGGACCAAATAGGTCAATCTCAATGTCAAATTTCTCTATGTGGGGCTGTGATTATATGAATTCACTGTGTTAATGTTGATAATTTAATGTTTATAGGGAGATTTACCTGACAGTAAAATGCTTTTGATTAATAAAATGTAGGAAATAAATTTATACTGTATGGCTTAGTAAGTACAGTTTGTCTAGTAGAAAAGGATATTTCAAGACATGGTAGTGAGGTGGGGATTGGGCAAAGTGCTAAAAGTAGAGAGTGGTAAGAATTGTGGGATTTCTGGGACTCCAGATGGCCCTGGATTTCTTTTGGCCTTTTCTTTGGAGTCTGTGCCACATGTTTATGTCATGATAGACTTTGAAAATAGGCTATGCTGGTGGCTTCTCTATACCAAATTTTTTTTTCTCCAAGTTCCACACTCATTCTTAGAATTTCAAACAACAAGATTATATGGAGCAAAGGGTGAAAGTGCCTCTTGCACCACTGTCAAATTTGGTATGTATCTCTCACCTTTTCTCTGCATATATAGCATGCTGTTGATAAGAAACTTTGGCCACAAGCCTTCCAAGAATTTCCAACTAGCACCTTGTCTGCCCTAGTTCTTCCCCCCGCCCCCCAGAACCCCTACAGTAGCAAGTAAAGGGTTAAGACTGACTCTGAAAGGTTATCTAGTTTCCTGCCTTAGCCTAGTGCTTGTGCAAGTCTAGTAGGTAAATATTTGATTCATGAGAGACACAGAGAGAGGCAGAGACATAGGCAGAGGGAGAAGCAGGCTCCCTGCGGGGACCCTGGGATCATGACCTGAGCCAAAGGCAGACACTCAACCCCTGAGGCACACAGGTGCCCCTGATACGATAGTGTTTTAAAAACATATTATTATGTCAGTTGTTTTTCACTTTAACATTAAGTATCTTGGATACCCTTTTTCATTAGCATAATTTATTCTTCATGATGGTTGCAGAGTGTTTTATTGTAGGGTATACATTATAATCTATTTAATGAATACCCAACTGGTGGACATTTTAGTTGGTTCTAATTTTAATAGTGTAGGTAATGCTGTAGCAAAAGCTCTGATTCTTGGATTGTCGACTACATTTTGATATGTGGTGCCAATTTGTTTTCAAAAAAGCTGTTTGAAATTACCCATTTTCCCATCCTTCACCGATGCCAAAAGTCTATTTAATTTCAACCAGTATGATAGTTTAAAAAATGTATTTAATTGTCACATTAATTTTGGTGAGGCTTAGTGTTTCACGTGCTTAATAACACATATTCTCTTTTTCTGTGAATTGCCTAATATTTTTAAATCACTTTTCTATTGGGTTGTTTTTCTATTTCTTGATGTGGAACCACCCTTTGTATGTCAAGGTTTTAAACATTTCTATTATTTTAGTTGCAGTTTTTTTCAGTTCGTTCCAGTTTGCCATGCCTTGGGTTTGTTTCTAGACTCAGAGAGTGGGTCCTGGTTAGGCTGACCCTGCATTTTTCATTTTGCAGAAGAGAAAATCTTTTTCCTGAGAAAGGAGATCTCTCCTGTAGTGCATCAATGTCCTTCAAGGTGATTTTTTTTTTCAGGGAATGGGTTAGAGTGTAGGTTGTGTAGGGGTTTCATTCTTTTTTATGGTTGAATAATATTATATACACACACACACACACACACACACACACACACTACCTTTTCTTTATCCATTCATCTATTGATGGACAAGATTAGGTTGCTTCCATAACTGGCTATAGTGAATAATGCTGCAATAAACACAGAGAGGTGTATATATCCCTTTGAATTAGTGTTTTTGTATTTTTTTGAGTGAATACCCAGTAGTGTGATTACTGGATTATAGGTAGTTCTATTTTTAACTTTTTGAGAAACATCCATACTGTTTTCCAGAGTGACTGCACCAATTTGCATTACCACCAAAACTGCAAGAAGGTTCCCTTTTCTCCACACTCTAGCCAACACTTGTTTTTCCTTGTGTTGTTGATTTTAACCATTCTGACTGGTGTGAGGTGATATCTCATTGTTTTGATTTACATTTCCCTGATGATGAATGATGTTGAGCATCTTTTCATGTGTTTGCCATCTGTATGTCTTCTTTGGAGAAATGTCTGTTGATGTTTTCTGCCCATTTTTAAGTTGGATTATTTGTTTGTGTGTGGTTGAGTTGTATCAGTTCTTTATATATTTTGGATACTGGCCCTTTATTGGATATGTCATTTGGAAGTATTTCTCCAACTCAGTAGTTTGACTTTCAGTTTTGCTGATTGTTTCTTTCACTGTGAAGACGCTTTTTATTCTCATGTAATCCCAATAATTTATTTTTGTTTTTATTTCCCTTGCCACAGGAGGCACATCTAGAAAAATGTTACCACATCTGATGTCAGAGAAATTGTCTGTCCTCTCTTCCAGGACGTTAAGAGATCTTAAACTCTAAAGTTTTGACTCTTTTCTCCCCTCTAGTGGGCAGCAGGAACTCCTGGCCAGGGCAGGGGGTGGGGGTGGGGTGGGGGGGGTGGGGGGGTGGAACAAGATTCCCCATCAGAGTAGATGGCTTTCAGACATCCCTTCTTGATCTTGGTCCTGGCCATCCAATCTTTTTTTTTTTTTCCCCATCTAAAAAATTGCGATTAAAAAAATATATATCATAAAATTTATCAGTTTAACAATTTTCAAATGTACAATTCAGTCGCATTAAGTACATTCACATTGTTGCACAGCCAACACCACTATTCATCTCTAGAACTTTGCCATTGTCCCAGACTAAAACTTTGTACCCATTAAACAATAATTTCCTATTCCCTACACTCCCTCCACCTCACCCCAGCCCCTGGTAACCACTATTCCACCTGGAATATCTCTATGAATTTAACTATTCCAGTTACCTTATATAAGTGGAATCATAACATTTCTCCTTTTTGTATCTGACTTCTCTCTCCTGGCATAATATTTCTAAGGTTCATATTGTGGCATGTATCAGTATTTCGTTATGCTTTAAGACTGAGTAATAAATAGTTCATTGTATGTATGTAGCACACTTTGTTTATCCATTTATACCTTGATGGCCACTAGGGTCGTTTACACCTTTTGGCAATTGTGAACAATACTGTTAGGAGCATACGTCTACAAATACGTTTTAGTCCCCGTTTCCATTCTTTTGAGTAAATACCCAGAAATGGAATTGCTGGATCCTACGGCAATTTTATTTCTGTCACAGCAGCTGTACAATTTATATTCCCACCTGGCGTTCCATTTTCTCTCTTTTCTTTTTTTTTTTTAAGGTTTTATTTATTTATTTATTCATGAGAGATACAGAGACACAGGCAGAGAGAGGGAGAGAGAGGGAGAAGCGGGCTCCACGCAGGGAGCCCGACGCGGGACTCGATCCCGGGTCTCCAGGATCACGCCCTGGGCCGAAGGCGGGCGCAAACCGCGGAGCCACCCAGGCGTTCCTCCACATGCTTGCCAACACTTGTTTCCATACACTCTTGCTTTGGCTGCCCCAAGACACAGAGTTTGGCAGACTGAGACTGGAGTGGGAGGAAGGCCTTTAAAAAAAAAAAAAAAAAACCCCAGCAGTCTGGGTCTCGGTGAGGCAGTGAGTAGCTGGGAATCGGGGACCAGCATCCGGGGAGGAGGAGTTCTCCGCTCCCGAGTGGCGGCGCGGGCGCTCGGGGCGGGCTGGAAGGCCGGGTCGCGGCGCTGCCCCTCGGGACGAGCTCGGCGAGGGCCCGGCTCACCCGCGGGCCGCCCTCTGTTGCGTGTGTGGGGGCTGCAGCGCCTCCATCCCCGGGCTTCCCGCGACCGCGCCCTCAGCGAGGCCAGCGAGCCACTCTCGAGGATCCCGGATTTTCCTGACGGACTCAACAAGGCATCCCCCCCCCCAGACTTAAAAATAGCTTGCCCCGGGGGCGCTGGGGAGAGGCTCCACCCCGTCTGGGTGGCGTGGGGCGCGGTCCCGGGAGCCCGCGGCGTCGGAGACCCCGGGCCTCGAGCTGCGGGCGCGGAAGGCGCTGCTGCCCTCGGGTCCGCGGGGCCGGCGGCGCAGGGGAGGGCGTCCCGGCTCCCCGCCGCTGGGGCGCACCCCCGGCCCGCGCCGGGGTTCGGGGAGCCGCCTCCGGGAGGTCTCGGCGGGGGAGCTAGCCGGGAGGCGGGGCCGGGGCCAAGCTGGGGAGCCCGCACCTCTGGACCTCTGCCGGCTCCGGAGGCCCCCAGGTGAGCAGGACCGCGTGGGAAAGCTATGGCAGGAATTTGGCCCCGGGAGGGGCTCGGGTGGGGAGCGCCCTCGCGGTGCCACCGTGCGGTGGGTGCAGCGGGCCGAGGGCGGTTAAACATTAGCGGCTGGGGCGGTCCAGCCCGGGAGCCGCGGGAGATGCACTCCTGCGCGGACTGCAGACCGCGGCTAGCGGCGCCCGGCTCCGCTCCTTGCCCCGCGCCCGGCCCCGCGCCCGGCCCCGCGCCCGGCCCCGCGCCCTGACACGCCCACAGCAACGCCCACAGCAACGCCCACAGCAACGCCCACAGCAACGCCCACAGCAACGCCCACAGCAACGCCCACAGCAACGCCCATAGCAACGCCCCTACACGCACTGGCCGCCCATTGTCCCGCCCTGGCCCCGCCCCTTAGCCGGCTCCGCCCCCACCTCCACTCGCTCAGCTCACTCCAGACCGAGGTACCCTCGGAGAGAAGCAGGAGTGACTGCACCTCGCCCCCCTCCCCCCCCAGGACTGCTTCCCTGGGTGGACAGACTCGGATGCTTACTTTTTGAAAAAAGTGAAACGATTTGGAGGGCTTGATGCTTTGAGTTCTGCAGGTAAAGGGGGATCTTTTGATAATGAGATGATTTAAAAACAAAAAATTGGCATCTCTGGTTTGTTCCTCTTGCATTCTGGGGCTGGGGTTTAGGAGGAGGCAGTGACGGTATTTTCCTTTTGAGGTGGCCGCAGGTAAAAGTCCAGGGAGACTTGCTTTGTACGGGAGGAGGGTCTAGAAGGGGGTCTGGAGGGCTTGGACCGGGGCTCCCCTTCACCCTGTACTCCTTAGGGCCCAGGACGTCCCCTCCCTCCCCCCCACCTGGGGGGGCCCCCATTGTCTCTGGGAATTTGATTTGTGAAAGAACTTCGAAGAGAGGCCTGGTGAGTGTGAGGTGCTCTGACTATGGCCTCTCACTCTTTCATCGGCAGCCAGGGTGGGTGGTCCACCTCCTGTGTCAGGGAGGTCCCTCATCACCTTCTCCTGGCCTCCTGGAGCTGAGGATTGACCAGTGAGAACAATCCCTTTTAGAGAAAGCTGGCCCTCCAGTCAAGTGGTTGATAAGCCATCTTTTTTCTGGCTCTGGCAGCACCAAGAGACATCTTCCTCATGTGGAAATAGTTTTGGATACCATCCGACTTGATAAAATGGTCCCATGGAGTTATATGCTTCAGGTTGGGAACAGAAGCCTGAATTCCTTTGTGGAATTTAACTGGGTTTTGCCACAAAGCTGGAGTTTGGTCAAAGGCTTGTGGCTCTTGTCCTGACAGGAGCAGGGATGGGGGCAACATGGTGGGCTCTTCTGAACCACCTTGTGCGCCCTTTTCAGAGAGGGCGGGTCCTGGTTAGGTGGGTTAATTACCTGTAGTGCCAGCTGTTGCTAGGCCGCGCACCTCCAGGGAGGATCTTGTGGGGGTCTGATGGTTGAAGCTGGAGAAAGTCTACCAAGAAACAATGACTGTTCCAAGGGAAAGAAAGCACCAGTATATTCTAAACTCCGTTCCTTTAGATGTGAAAAGCAGGGCTGATTTTTGACAATTCTGCACCTGAGAAGACAGGTCATGTCAGTTTGTAGTCTTCCCCTCTATAATATTCCTGAGCAATGCCAGTCAAAGCCCTAGCCCTGATTTTTCTTTTAAAGAAGATTCTCTTGTGGCAAAAAGTTAAGAGAGGTTTTTGACAAAACTGTTGGTGTTGTCTTTTAAAAAGATCTTCTTAGAAGGAGATACAGGTCTTCTGTTACGGAGTGGATGTCACGGGGATAAAAAGCAGAGCGTAAAGAATACGGTTAGCGATATTGTGGTAATGATGTAGCGGGACAGATGGTGGCTACACTCCCGGTGAACATAGCCTAAAGTCTAAATTTGTCGAATCACTAAGTTGTACACCTGAAACTAATGTGTAACATTGTGTGTCAGCTATACTAAAAAAAAAAAAAAAAAAAAAGAAAAAGAAAAAGAAAAAGAAAAAGAAAAAGAAATAAAAATACCTCCTTAAAGTTACTGGGAATAGAAACCAGAACCTTGATAGTTCTGGGAGCAGGTGCAGCCCCTGTGGAGAGCAAGGAGTGGAAATGGTACACTTTTTTTTTTTTTTTTTTTTAGAAAACAACAGAATTAGGGAATAAGCCTAAGATCTGTGACAATAGTGTTCCAGGAGAGCTTCCGAGTCACTCTCCTTTGGGATTTGTAGGGCTCCCTTGCCTAAGGCTTGTATATAACCTGTTTGCAAACTGTGTGGGAGTTTCCTTGGCAACGACAACAATTAACATTAATGACAAGCCTGGGCTCCCCAGGGCAGGTACTGCTGGGGTGGCTCTGGGAGCCAGGCCTGGCAGCTGCCTTGGTAGCTTGGCTCCCCTAACAGCTCCTCTTGGCTGCATTTTTGAGGAAGCAGAAGGTACAGTAAGGTGGGAGCAGCGGTGGTATACTCTAGCTGTCAATTTATATTTAAAAAATCAGAATTTAAAAAGATCAGTTGTTTGGTTGACTTCTGTCCACGTTATCTTTAACAGATGACAGGTGGGCAGCTTTCGGAAGAACCACAAATTCTCCAGGAGATGTTTTGCCATGGGATAGCTGCCTTGTGAGGTGGTAAACCCGAGGGTGTGCAAAACAAGGGTGTGCAAAGCGATGGTGGTAGATGGGCTTTCTTTCTTGGCTGTGGGATTGCCCCAGGTAGAAACCATCATCTCAGTGCCCATAAATAACAGTGAATAGAGTTTGGAATGCTAGCATAAATAACATTCGTTTGGGTCCCACTAACTCATGAGATTGGTCTAGGACTGGGAAGTTTCCTGGGACCCCATCAAAACATGTAGAGATGGTTAACACAGCTTTGGATTTCCTAATGATAACGAGTCATGTCTGCCTTGTGTTTCTATTCCCAGATGTGAGGAGAAAGCAGTCTCCTGATGCTCCAGTCTGGAGAAAGCACAGCGTGACTGCCCATTGGTGTGTGTGGTTTCCAGGTGATCTGCAGCACTCTCGTTTGGCTTTGTCACCTGCCATCCTAACTTGGATGCAAACTGTGGAGCTGGGTCCTGTTCACCTAAGCTCTGCAGAGATACGGAGAGAATTTCAGGTCCCTGGCACTGATCCTGTTGTGATTTGCTGTAACGTTTCAGTTCTTGCAGTTTGGTCAAGTGATCTCAGGTACTCTCATTTCCATGGTGGGAAGTAATTTATGTGCCATCATTGCAATCAATGGGAGGTAGTTGGGCATAATTCAAAAGCTTTAGAATCAGACAGAACCTGATTTGAATCTTGACTTCATTACCTAGTAGCTGAGTAACTTGGGGCAGGTCCCTTAGCTTTTCTGAGTCTCAGTTTCTACATTTGTCAGAAGAGGTAAATGATAGCTACATACAGGATTGTGTGATGGTTAGACATAGTACTTTTAAAGGCTGGCACAGTGCCTGGTACACAGAAACTTAATCAGTGCTGGCTGCTATCGTAGTCTTTGGATTTCCCCACTTCTGCTCACCTTTGGGTGTCAGAGCCCTAAAACTTATGAAAACCTGGGGATTCTAGTGGAAGACAGGTATGACACTTTTGGGGTTCAGTAAGACCACATGAACTCAGATCCTTAATTCAGAATTCTGTATAACTGGGATTGGGGCTGCCATCCTTGGTGTGTGCCCAGAGTGTAAATGCAAGTGTTTCAGGGCTGCAGCTATATCTTGATAGTCAGTGTGGCTCTGAGGCTTCTCATTGATGAGCCTGAGCCCCCACCCACAAGGGCTGGAATGGCCAGTGGTATCGGGAATGTGGACACACATGGTAACAAATCCAACATTTTAGTAAGTGTGAGTGGCATTTCCCTCCAGTGGGTCCAAATTAAGGATTCCAAACTCCATTCTTACTATTTATCCTAATTCTTGCTGGTTCATAGGCTCATTTCTCCAAGACTCCAAGAATATAGACTTTTGAGGCAGATACTCTAAGATTTTGATAATTCTGCTCAGGTTAATAGCAATCTGGGTTCCCAGTAATATGCTAGAGGCTAGAGTACAGTGGAGATGAATAAGCCATGGTGTTAGTCCTTGCAGAACTTACAACTGGGGGTGCTGGAGGAGGATGGAGACAGGGGTGTCCTGGTATGGCCTGTCCTTGGCACACCCAATGCACCCTGTCCTAGTACCTACTCTGGCATTTACCAATCTGTAGGGTAATTTCTGTCTATTTTTCTGTCTTTCTGGAGACATGTGGAGCCAGACACCATCATTTACTGGTTGTATGATTGTGGGAAAGTCATCTGCCCTCTTAGGTAACTTGTAAGTTTCTTCATCTGTACACTGGGTTGTAATGAGAACAAAGTGGAATAGTGCATGGAAAGCCTTATAATTGTATGCAAAGCACACAATTCCAGAACTTTTAATTAGTTTTATTAATGATGGCAGGGACTGTTGCCTGGGTCACCATCAATTCTGAGCGCCAGTCATGGTGCCTGGCACTTAGCAGGGGCTTAGGAGTCATTTGTTCTCGGGATGACTAGATGAATGTTGGAAAGCCACACAGATACAGACCAGAGTGTGGTGAGGCACCGAAACGAGTGTATACTCTGTGCTCTGGGGGCCCAAGGGAGGGGCAGGGCATTTTGACTGTGGGAAGGTTTGTGGTGGCTGTCAGGTGTGAGCAAGGCCTTGAAGCAGGCATTCATTCACCTGCAGTAGAAGGAGGAGGAAGTGGTGGAGGTCCATCTATACCAACAGGCAGCACAGCATAGTGGCTAAGAGCTCAGATCTGTAACTAGGCTGTGTGGGTTGGGATCTTGCCTCCTGCATCTGGGGCAAACTTCTTTACTTCTTTGTGGTTTGAGTAATATTAGTGCCTCCTCAAGGGATTGTTCTGAGGATTACATGAGCTATTCTTTATGAAGCACTTAAAAATGGGTGCCCATAAATAAATAGCCCAGGGCTATGAACGTGTGGGCAGCAAGTGATATTGTAGTGGGAAATGCAAATAGAAAGGTAGTTTGAAAAACAGTTCATAAAGGTGTTTGAATATCTTTTTAGTGAATTTGGATTTAGCCAAGAGGAACACATAAAATCCATTCCCGTATGGCTGAAGCTCAGTGGTGGCTGCCCTTCCTTTGTTTTGTTTTGTTTTTAAATATTTATTTATTTATTTTGGCAGGGGAAGAGCGGGTGCCTGCACACAAGTTGGGTGAAGGGCAGAGGGAGAGGCTCTCAAGCAGGCTCCCCACTAAATGAGGAGATGACCAGGTTCCATTCCAGGACCCATGAGATCATGACCTGAGCCAAAACCAAGAGAAAGTTGCTCAACCAGCTGCACGCCCCCCGCCCTTAGGTGGCTGCTCCTTTTATTTATTTTTTTTTAAAGATTTTATTTATTTATTCATGAGGGACACACGCACACAGGCAGAGGGAGAAGCAGGCTACATGCAGGGAGCCCCGACATGGGACTTGATCCCCGGTCTCCTGATCACACCCTGGGCTGAAGGCGGTGCTAAACCGCTGAGCTACCTGCGCTGCCCAAGACTGCTCCTTTTAAACAGGGCATGCACTCCCCATTCTGGCACAATCCCTAGGACTCCCTACTACAGTGGTTCTGAATCAATACAATGAATCTGGAGACTTACATTTCTAACAAGTTCCCAGCTGATGCTGATACTCTGATGCTGCTGGTCAGGGACCACACTTTGAGAATTGCTGCCTAATTGTATCATGGCTACTAAGACAGGGAATCAATTACCATTTATCATCGAGCTTGTACTTTGGTTTTTCTTATACTTGGCACATTTTCTGCATTTAATGCTACCTTTTTGTCCCTGAGGGAATTTGGATTTGCAATTTCTGGTATAATCAGTATTGGAAGGCTGGACCTAAAGATTCCAAGGGAGAGATGGGCCAGTGAGAAAGAGCTCTGGGAGTGGCTGAGGCTCAGCCAAAAGCAGGTCTTTGGTTGATGAAGCTGTGGGTATGTGTGAGCTCGTCTTCAAGGAGAGTGTGCAGGGAGTGATGAGTCATGAATGAAGAACAGAATATCATGGAGGCACGGCCCACCCTCATCATCCCCCTCATGTTAAAAGAAGGGTAAAAGGATAGTTCAAGGAAGAGGCTGGAAGGAGCATTCAACAAGGTAGGAGAAGCTGAGAGAATTGCTGATGGAACATTCTTAGCCTTAATATTAGAGAGAGGATTGTAGGCCAACATCTGAGGCCAAAGCTTAAATAGTTAAACAGTGAGTTGTAGGTGAGCTCTCCGTCTGGAGGAGGACAGGAAGCAGGTGTCCTGTTACCCTTGCCCACAGCATGCCTAGTAACCTGCTGTTGCTCCAAAGCATAGCTTGTTGTGGCAATTGTCTCTGAGGCTCTAGTGATACAGTTGCAGCTTGGAGCTGAGCATGGTATCATGTCTCCTGTCTCTTTTGAAAATTTGCTTAAATAACACAGCACATTAAGTAGAAATGGGCTGCTCTTATGGCCATGATGGAGGTGAACATGGCTGGATGGTTTTGGTTTTGGAGTCTCTTTGGGGGAAGAGTATCTGAGAAAGGGAGGTGTGAGAGCCGAAATGGAAAAGGTGGGTCAGTGGCAGCCTGTGGGCAGTCTTCAAGGCCAAGCTAAGCAGTTTGGCCCCTGTGGCAGCCAGAGGCCACGCTGAGCTCCTGAGTGGAGGGCAGGTGTGTAGTTAACATACTTCAGTAGCCCCCATGCCTTGGCATGAGCCCTGGTCCAAGTAGGCATGCTGTAAATGAGGGGGCAATGGATGAATGAATGAATGAGTTGGAGGGATAAGGGGTCATGATCTGATCAAAGCAAAGTTTTAGGACAAATAGCCTCAAAGATCAATGATCAGAGGCCACAAGCCTTAGAGCCAGATGCACTTCCAACTGTACTTTGACTCTGGCCTCCCTAAGTGAGGCAAGACTCTTCTCCAGACATTGGTTTCCTTGTTTGTAAAATGGGACTAGTGATACTACTTGTAGGTTTGCATGTGGAGTTTGTGTCTGACACAGAGGCTGGCACTTGCCACACTGCAGCCGATATTATTACCGAGTGACTTTGCCTTGCGCCCTGGCAATCCTTAAGCATCCTAGAACCCTATGGGCAGGTAGGGCAGGCCTATCACTATCTTGCTCAGGTGAAGGCTCACAGAGATCAGGGACCTCCCCTGGAGGCCCATCCCTTCTTTGCAAACCCAGCCCCAGAATTTCTTCAAGAATGTTTCCTCTTCATGAGATCAGGGACCTCACTCTCCTCTGACTTTCTCTTGTACTTAAAAGTTTGAATCATATGATCTAGAAATAACTTGATTAGATAGAGTCCCCTTGTTGTTGCCCTGGTCAGACTCGAAGTTCCTCAAGGGTAGAAATTGTATTTTACTGTAAAAATTAGAAAAGTAGGGGATCCCTGGGTGGCTCAGTGGTTTAGTGCCTGCCTTTGGCCCAGGGCGCGATCCTGGAGCCCCAGATTCGAGTCCCACATCGGGCTCCCGGCATGGAGCCTGCTTCTCCCTCCTCCTGTGTCTCTGCCGCTCTCTCTCTCTCTCTCTCTCTATCATAAATAAATAAATAGATAAAACTGAAAAAAAAAGAAAAGTAATAGATGATGATGTAAAGAACTTTGGATAGTATAGAAAGGTGGAAAGTGGAAAATCAAAGTCTTCCAGCGTCCATTCCCACTCCCAGAGGCATCCATTATAACAGCTTATTTATTTTTCTAGAAATACCATAGTCTATGCTTACAAAATGATAGATAATGAATAATATATAGGGATCACAAATTAGTGTATTTTATTTTATTATTATTATATATGAGTAACAAATATGCATCATTCGTATATGTGTATATATGTATATACATTATACATATGTATCATTATCATCATTGGTCTGTGCAAGGATGGCTATCCATCCATCTCCTACTCATGCACCATCTATTCCTCATTTATTTATCCCCGTTTCACATCCCATTTCCCTCCTTCCTCGTAGGTAACTATGCTATTGTGAAATATATCTATAGATCTATATCTATGTGATATATATGTGGTCCATATCTATGTCAGATATACATATTTTTATGTTTGCAAATTATTATATGTTTAAATAGTTTTATATTATGTGTTTAAACAGTTGTGGAAATATCTGTGTGTATATGTATGTATATTTGTGTTATGTGTATATATTTGTATATATGTATATGTATATACACACACAAACACACACTCATTATTTTGTATCAGTGCATGAATAGTTGCCTTATTCTTATCAATAGCTGCATAGTATTTCATTGTATAGAGATACCATTTGTATCTCCTGTTGTACTTTGTACTTCACTTTCTTGTATTTTTTCTTGTACTTTGCTGTTATAAACAATATTACATGACAGTTTTTGCACAAGCACCTTTGCACACTTGTATAAGTTTATCTGCAGGAAAATTATAATTTTTTAGTAGTCGAATGTTTATCTTAAAATCCTATTGCTATTGTCAAAATATTCTTTAAAGAGAGAGAACAATTTCTGTGTCTACCAAGTGCGTGGAGAGGAGAATCTGAGTCTGTTGAGAACAATTTGAATCTCTTCTCTAAACCAATAGGTTTGAAAAAAAGACCATTATGGATTAAGCACAGTCTGTGTGCAGAGACATAGTTGCTCTACTAAGCATCCCCTGGCGGTGGTGGACATTATGTTACTCACATCCCACCAGAGGGAAGCATAATCATGTGATCATGCGTTACAGCTGGGGCAATTGAGAAAGGTAGCTCACTCCTGTTCCACTATAACCTTGTAATGACAGGAGGAGAAGATGGGGTATGGTGGTTGTTAGGAGGCTCTGCCTCCAGTGGCAAGTTATTGGACTTTCTCCTGATCTCAATATAGGGTTGCAGAAGGATGCACTTAGACATTTGACCCCTCCTTTTGACAAAGACCTCTGGCAGGCACTCTTGCAGCAGACTTGGGCATGGGGCACAGTGGAGGGAGGAGTCACTCACCTCATTCCTAGGAGGAGGACCTGCTATGTGCCAGGTACTAGGCTGGGTGCTTCACTTGTCTCATTCCTAATCACAAGCCTGAAAAGTAGGCTCCATGATCCCCCAGTATACACAGAAGGCTTCAGGATGTGAGGGAACTTGCCCAGAGCTACAATCTGAATCCACACCCCCTTGCCTTCCATAGCTGTCACCACATCAGTGCATCCCAGGTGTACTGCAGCCATTGCATGGGTCCCTCACCTCTGCCCACTTATACTCCTGCTGGCCAGGTGTATAGTACGTGCCTCCAGATGTGTCTTGCTGAACTTGGACTTTCTTCTCATTTTCTAGGTCCTCTCTCAGTTTCTTTGCCTGCTACCGTAGCCTTCGTGCCACCCTCCCTTGGTGGTCAGCCCAGGGCTTCCTCAGCCCATGCAGTACCTGGCCACCACAGCTGAGGGCCTCAATGGCTCCCTCTTTGGGGCCTACCCTTTCCCTCCCTTCAAGTTCCAGCCGCGCTCTGAGAGTGTGGACTGGAGGCGCATCAGTGCACTGGATATGGACCGTGTGGTGCGAGAGCTGGATGTGGCCACCCTGCAGGAGAACATCATTCATGTTACCTTCTGCAGTTTGGACCAGGAGGTGTGCCACCGCTGCAGGCAGCCTTTGGACCCGGCAGTGCTCAAGTTGCTGCACTTGGCCCAGCTCACCATTCAGTACCTGCTGCACTGCCAGAATTGCTTGAGTACCAGCATCACTCAGCTGGAGGCCCGGCTGCAGGCTAGCCTTAGCCAGCAAGAGAAGGGCCGGCAGGAGCTGGAGCGCCAGACCCAGGAGTTCAAGGGCGTGAAAGAGGAGAGCCGCCAGCGCCGCAAGATGATCCGCACCCTGCAGCAGCTGCTCCTACAGACTGGGGTCCACAACTATCACCCGGTGAGGAACCTCTGCAGGGTGGGAAAGGAGGGGGGCTGGGGGCCTCATCACTGGGCCCCCTGGGCAGCACCAGCACACTGGGCCTCCGGGTTGCTGTGGGCCACGCTGACTGGGGTTAGGTTAGAGATGTCCCATCAAGTTCTACAGAGTGTGTGTATGTGTGTGTGTGTGTGTGTGTGTGTGTGTGTGTAGCAAGTATATATCTGAAGGATGTATGTGTGTGTGTGTTTATGGAGAGGTATATCTAGGGTGTGCATGTATGAATGTGTGGAGGATGTGCATGCTTAAAGACAGTGTGAAGATGTGTGCCTAACATGTGGCTGTTTGGAGCATACATCTGTGTATGGTCTATGCCTATGTATGTATGCAAGAGTGTGTGGTGTGTAATATGTTTGAAGGGTTTGTGTGTGCGTGTAGCAGTGTGATGTAAAAAGGCATGTGTAAGGGTGTGTGTGTGTGTGTGCAGAATTAGTGTGTAGCCACAGATTCGTACTGCCAGGCCCATTGTGGGAAAGTGACTCTATTGTTTAAACAAGTGACAATTCATTACTCAGAGGGGCGTTTGAACATCTGCATCTGCATGGCAAGTGTGGCCTGGGGACTGTTGCAATTAATGAATTGTCATGGTGGTCAGGCCCTGTGCCTGGCTCTGAGGATGCAGGCACAAGTCATGCTGGCTCAGGTTATCAAGAAATTCATAGTTTGGGGGTGGGTGGGACAGAAGGAATGATATGATACAATGTTAATTGTATTAATTGATATAATGTTAATTATGATAAAAAGGGCCAGAGCCCTTTCAGTAGTAAATAACAGAAGAGCAGTTTAACTTGACTTAAGGATTTTATTGGTTACTTTAACTGAAAAATCCAGAGCTATGGTGGGACTCAGGTGTGGCTTGTCCTTGGAATCAGATTATGGGCACTAGAATTTAGTTTGTCTCTCTGTAGCTTTTAGTAATGCTTCTTCAGTGTTGGTTCCATTCCAGAAAGAATGCTCTGTGTGGGAGCAGGTTGGGCCACCAGTGCAAGTATCTGATTTTCCCAGGTTCGAGGCTGGCATGATAGAGGGCCTACTTTGGTACCAGAAACCTGGCCAGTTTTTCATCATGTCCTGTATTTGGCTCGGTTTGGGTCTCCTACCCATCTGGGAACCCCTCATAGGTCCCTGGAAATTCGAGGTTGTGACTGGCTTTGGTCTAGATCACATTTCCCACCGTGGAGATGAGGAGGGACCGTAGCCCATGGATGGAGAGTAAGGGACAGGGTGATTCTCCAGAAGAAAATGGTTTCTGTTGTTGGAGGAAGAAGGAGTGGCTACTGGACTGTCATGGCTTTAATGACACCTTCCAGAAGGTACACTTATTACTTCTGCTTACATGTCATTGGCCAGAATTTAACCACATGGCCACACCTGGCAAGGGAGGCCGGAACATAAAGTGTTTATTCTCATTAACCTCATGACCACCTAAAATCGGGGTTTTTATTACTGAGGAAATTGGGGGACATTTAGCAATTTCTGTCACATTTGTGTAAAGATAGCAAATAATCTGCCCTCTTAGTCTGATGGAGTAAGATTGGCAGCCTCAGTGTTGGAAAATTTTTGAAGTTTTATCATGAAAAGATGATATGTTAGATTGGCAGTGTTGAAGATGCTTGAGGAAAGTGAAGTGGAATTAGAGATACTATTATTTGTGATCCTCTACTTGGTGGTTCTCAACTCTGGGTTGGGACCTGGGCATTGGCTATTTTTTTTTAATTTACTTTTTATTGTGAAAAATTCTAAATATGTATGAGGGAGTAGTATAATGAACCTTCATATGTACACTACTCAGCCCGTTATCAACTCATGGACGGTGTTTTTGCATATGTTCCCCTACTTACTCTCAATCCTGCATCACTTTGACGTGCATTAGGCATGTGGTGTTATCTACAACTATTCCAGTACATATTCCTAAAAGGCAAGAACTCCCACTTTTATTATTTTTTTATTTTTTATTTTTTAAAAAATATTTATTTATTCATGAGAGACACAGAGAGAAAGAGAAACAGAGACACAGGCAGAGGGAGAAGCAGGCTCCATGTAGGGACCCTGATATGGGACTCCATCCCAGGTCTCCAGGATCACACCCTGGGCCGAAGGCAGTGCTAAACCACTGAGCCACCTGGGCTGCCTAGAACTCCCACTTTTAAACATAAACACAAGACTATCATCATGCCTTGAAAAACCAACAAAAATTCCTTAGTGTCATCAAATTCGTAGTCAGTGCTTACAGCTCCCTTGGGCACTGGTTGTGTTCAAATATAATTCTTCATTTCTGAAGCAGCCCAGGGGGCCCACAGAAATAGGAATTTTTATATTGGGAGGACCCCAGGTTGACCCAGGTTATCTATTCCTGCACTTACCACTGTTTCCCTTCTGTGCAGTGCCACCTGTGTGACAAGGCATTCATGAATGTCACCTTTCTCCAGGGCCACATGCAGCGCAGGCATTTGAACATGGCAGAAGGTGGTGAGTCCAGGTGGTCCTCGTGGGACTATGGATAGTGGGGAATAGTCTGGGCTGGTCTTCAGTGGGTGTGGGACACACATACCATCACAGCTGCCCTCAGGCCTCATCATCCAGTAGAGGAGGGGATGATCCCACCATCTACCATGGGGGAATCTGTCCCATGTGAAGATGGGAGGGTTTCTGACCATGTGTGTAGAGAAAAAAAGAGATAAGTTCTGGTGTTAGCTTTATCCCTTTTTATTATGTGACCACTGTCAGTGCACCCCTCTGAGTCACAGTGGCCTTTGCTGTGAATGGGACTGTCAGATGCAGTGATTTTCAAGGGTCCTTACCTTCCAGCCTTCTATGAGTCTGCTATTTTCTGATGCTAGCTATGAATGTGTTTTTAAATGGGGTTAATGAGCAGTTAGGCCAGTCTTTTGACTTTTTGTGTGTAGCTAATTATGACTTAATCACTTTAATTTTACTATTTCGAGTTCCAAAACAAGTAGCGAGGCTGTATATTTCCCCATAAAGAGATTTGGGAACTTTATATCCATTTTTGTGGTTCCATAAGAAATAGGTGTTAACACGTGAAATAAATATAGATATGAAAATATGAAAATATAAATCTTATAAATATAAAATCCCATTAAATAAAACTTTTTTCTTATTTTTTCATTTTAATTTCCTTTTCAAAGAGCAGACTTAGAGTTTTAAAACAGGACCATTTACTTACCTACTTATCCATTTATTATATATCTGATTTTTCTTGGTTCTGCATTGGAGGCTGCTAAAGAAAAACATTTTCTGCTTCTTAAATGTTTTTTTCTGATTAAAAAGATATGTCTTTGAAGAGGTGTTTGTATACTGATATTCATAACAGCATTATTCACAGTAGCTAAGATTTGGAAGCACCCGAATGTCCGTAGACAGATGAATAGATAAGCAAAATGTGGTATATACATTCAAGGGAATACGATTTGCCCTTAAAAAGAAGGGAAATTCTGTAATATGTTACAATATGAATGAACTTTGAAGATATTATGCTAAGTGAAGTAAGTCAGTCACAAGAAGACAAATACTGTATAATTCCACTTAATATGCGGCACCTAGAGAAGTCAAATTCATAGAAACAAAGTAGAATGAATGATGGTTGTCAGGGCCAGGGGAGGGGGTGCATGGGGAGTTATTTGAAACATACAGAGTTTTTGTTTTACAAGAAGAAAAGAGTTATGGAAGAGGATGGTGGTGATGATTGCACATTATGAATTATTAATGTATTTAATACCACCGAACTATACATTTAAAAATGGTTAAGATGCTAAATTTTATGTTATGTGTATTTTACCACAATAAAAATATTGGAAAAAAATACTTTTGACCTGGAAAATTTAGATACAGGAAGGTAGAAAAGGTAAAAACCACGGTCAAAATCACAGTTAATATTTTGATGTTTTTCTCTGTTATTATTTTTCTGTGTATGTATATAATCATATAGTATGCAGTTTTGACTGTTGCTTATCTTCAGTTAGGAATATATCACATTTCTATTGTCATCCAGTCATCTTGGGAAACATGGCTTTTAATGGCTGAATAGTATCCCATCCTGTGGCTATCCTAATTTATTTCACAATTAAATTACTTTGTACTTTATATGGGTTACTTGTCAATTTCCCTATTATAAATCACATAATGATCAACATTCTTGCATGTAAATCTTTGTGCATATTTCTTATTATTTTCTTAAGGTTAAGTGTTGAAGGAGAGGGAAAATATGTTCTTAAGGCAACTTTTGCTAAATTAATGACCTTTTTATTCTCAGGCAGCTGGCTTTTCAGATCCCTCTGCTGTCCAATTTCATATCATCTCAAATCACTTTGTTAACCCAAATTAATTTCTACTGCATTTAAAAATTGCTAGTTTCCAAAAAATCCAGTTTGAGGAAAACCATTTCTTTTTTTTTCAAAGACAGGTTTAGAGGTTTAATAACAGTACCATCTATCTAATAGGCACTACAGGTACTTTAAAAAGTAACAAATGTTCAAGTACAATTGGCGTCTTTTCAATTAACCCGTAACTCTTGGTTTGTCAGTATGTGGTTTAGTTAGAATGTTCTTTTATACTTCATTCTTTTTTTTTTTAAATCTTAGAAATGTTAAAGTATACTTTTAAAGCAACCTTGGCTAAAATTTTCTTCATAATGCATGCTGCTTTTTTTTTTCCATTTGAAATTTAATACTATACTGTGTTTCTGAACAAAGTGAACTTAAAACTACAATTATTTTCACTCCTTTAAACTCTTCTCTGATGGCTGCCAGGTACATAGATGTGTTCTTTGTATTAATAATCACTGTGTACGTGCTATTTGGTATTATGCTTCTGTTACCTACCAATCTCGCATTTACATTTGTGTGTGTTGGTACCATCAAAATAGTTATTTTAAGTGATAATAATAGTTCACATTTATTGAGTTGTCATGCCAGGCACTGTGCTAAGCGTTTTGTACTATCACCTTTCACCCTCGCGACAACCCTCTGAGTTAGGTGCTGTTGTTATCTCCATTTTCTGATGTGGGGAAACTAAAGGTCAGGGATGTTATGTCACTTGCCTGTAGTCAATGTCCAATGGAAGTGGCATGGCTGGTCTCAGCCAGAGGTGTGACACATCGCATAGATGAGGAACCTTGCTCCACTCACTTTTTAACTTAAACTGGTTACCCTGTCTTTGCATGGACCCCACAGTGAAGCAGAAGAAGCCAGAGTGGCTGTTGGGGGAGGACGTGTTGGAAGAGCTGCGGGCCAAGCTAAAATGGACTCAAGAGGAGCTGGAAGCCCAGAGGGAGGCAGAGAAGCGCCGACAGCTGCAGGTGGGCATGGAGAGGAAGCACCGGGGAGACCCGTTCGTGGACTACCCAGGAGACCCAAGAGGCACCTGTATTCCACAGGACCAGAAGTCAGGCTGGTTTTCTGCAGCAGGAAACTAGCCTGCAGCAGGGAGTCAGCCAGCACCAGGATAGCATCTTTCTGGATATGGCAAATGATCTTGGGTTGTCTGAGAAGGAAGATTCAGTTATTTTTCCAGATCTGTCTGGCTACAAGTAGAGCAGAGAATTGCATTTTCCTACATTATTCAGCACTCTGTGAGGGCATTTAAACCAGAATGTTAACTTCTTACACTACCCTGCTAGTTTGCGCTTTGAAGAACAAAGACTGGATAAACTCCAAAGTCCACTCTCAAGGATGTACTTAGTAGATAGTTGGTGGAATGAAGATATGTAAATTTGCCTCACCCCTTCCTGCATGTAATCATTTCCTCAGCACCCATTTATTGAGCACCAACTATGCCAAGAATACAAAGAGAGAGAAGAAAAGACATGGTCCCTACCCTCAAGGGACTTTACAGTTTGGGTAAGACTTGTCCCACTCCATGTCCAAACAGTGGGAGCTCTGAGATGATTGTGCTTTGGGTCTCCATAATGACTTGCCCATACAAGAGGCCCTAGCAGTTTCTCAGTAAATATTTGCCGTAATGTGGAATTAATGATTCTATTGTTCTTCTTTTCTTTCCAGGAAGCAGAGGTCAGCCATCAGAAGGAAATAGAAACTAAGAAAAAATTTGATGAATGGAAAGAAAAGGAGCGGGCCAGCCTATATGAAGAAATAGACAAGTTTAAAAAATCATTATGGGATGAATTTAAAAGTGTTGCCAACCATAACTCTATGCTAGAAGAGGTAACTTACACAAAAGGCATTCAAAGTTCTTTTGCTGAAAAATCTGTTTATTCTTAAAATTTGTTTCTTAGTTTGTTCTAGTTTTATTCCATCTGCCATTGGGGGCTGATATACTGTTAGGCCGGATACCAGAGGCTGATGCCAGGGGCTGAATCCCTGCTCTAGCACATTTTGGCTGTGTGACCATAGGCGAGTTACTTAACCCTCCTGTGCCTCAGTTTCTTTTCTGTAAGATAGATTGCTGAAAGGGTTAAATTAGCACGTAGAGAGCACTTCACATTGTTTGGTATATAGTAAAAACTCCCTAGACTTTATTTTTGCAAAGGAGTTTCTTTCATCACTGGATAAGATATGAGGCAAAATTTAGATGAATGCACTTCTCACTCAACAAATATATGCTGACACTGCCTACATGCCAGCCACTCTGTTGGGGTCTGTGGAGATCACAAGTAATAGTAAGATTTACTAAAGGTATTTACTGTTTTCCCCTGTACAGAGTGCTTTATATACACTAACTTTTAATTCTCACAACAACAAAACAACCATAACATCCTCAAAGTAGGTACATTTTTCATTTACTTACTTCTTTTTTAAAGTTCTTTAAACAAAACTATTCTCATGCCTCCTTTACAGCAGAGGACATTGAGGCCCCATAACATGCTCAAGGTCACATGGCTACTAAGAGCTAGACCTGGGATTTGAGCTTAGCTTTTTAAATGAAAAGCTCCTGCTCTTCTACTGGGCATACTGTAAGTTTGTTTAGGAAAACCTTTTTTTTTTTTTTTAAGATTTTATTTATTCATGAGAGACAGAGAGGTGGAGACATAGGCAGAGGGAGAAGCAGGCTCCCTGTGGGGAGCCTGATGCAGGATTCGATCCCAGAACCTCGGGATCATGCCCTGAGCCAAAGGCAGATGCTCAACTGCTGAGCCACCCAGATGCCCCCAAGAAAACCTTATTAAAGGTCATTATCCCTGGACCCTCTCTTCCCATATAAACCTGTATGACTAAAATCACGTCAGGGATAATGTTCTGAGGAGAAATACTTTCAGAATATATTTAGGTCTTAATGGTCCTTCTAACATCAAAGACAATCTTTTCTTGTTTTTGAAAATGAACCATCTAATAGCATTTCTCACAATCATTCTGCAATTTGTTAAATAAACACTTGGACCACTTTGCCAGGAGGAGGTCATCATAGGATATGCTTGGAATCTTGGGTGACCTGTCATCTCAATCTGAGCTGAGAAGCCAAGGACGGGGAAGGCTGTGGAGTTGAGATGAGGAGTGTGAGTGTGTATGTGTGTGTATGTATCTATAGTGACCCAAGCCCTCCCATCTGTGGGGGCTAAATGTTCCTGCAGTGTGGTCAGGGATGATATGGTGGAGACAAGATACTGCTCCACCATATGGAGCTCATGCCCCTACTGCCCCAGCTCCATGCTCATCATTCTTGAACTTGCCTACACCCCTGCCAACTCCCACTCCTCCCCTGACGTGGTGGTAGCTGACTAAACATTTGAGAGGTAGGTTTTGATGTGCATTTGGAGTTGTTGTTGGGAAACTACCTCATCAAAGGTCAGAAGGTTACTTTGGTTCAGAAATTCTAACTTTTGGTGAATGAGGACCTAATTCTTACCATCCATGGTTTCTTTTTAACTTAGATCCCATTTTCCTCAATTAGAACATCAATTTTTTTTTTTGGTCTTTCCTCTATAGGATTGCTTATATTGTTTTTGTGTTTGTATGTCTCCCCCATCTCCTCTCATGTGACATTTTATTATTTTACTTTTATTATAGGAACCAAACTGGATACAGAATTCTCAGTGTACTTGGATAATTATTTTGTTATTTTCCCCCTAATTTGGGGGAGAAAAAGATAAGATTTCATTGACAATGAGTGTGAATAACACTGTAAGACCATCCATCTCATTACACAAAAAAGATTCCCCTTGCTGTCAGGAGGGCCAAGGAGAGGGAAATACTTTTCAAAGATGTTTCTCCTCAAAAATTTCCTCTTGATGCAAAAGCCCGTGAGCTTACTTTCGCTAAATTACCTGACTGTAGAGAGAACTTTAGATAAGACGTACACTAAATCCAGCTGCCAAAGGAGTCCCTAGCTGAGTGGAAATTGCCATGAAGGTTTGTTATGCCGAGAGAGCCAGCTCTCTGGTTGTTGTGAGCATCGGTGTGAAGACAGAAATGGCACATCAGAAGCTGAGGGTTGTGCATACACTTGATAAAGCATTTGACGCTACGAAAACACTCCATTAGAAATGGTTAACATTTGTACCTGATATTGCTCTAGCAGTAGAGAGGAGTTAAAGATTAGCCAGAATGAGAACAAGTTAAACTCAGGGACTTGCAGTTCTTTAAAGCTTTAACAGGGCTTATGAGTTTTGTTTGATGATAGAGATGGAACTAATTTCCTTTTGTGACTACAGCAGTGATATGTTTAAAAAAATAACCATAGGTGGGATCCCTGGGTGGTGCAGCGGTTTGGCGCCTGCCTTTGGCCCAGGGTGCAATCCTGGAGACCTGGGATCGAATCCCACGTCGGGCTCCCCGTGCATGGAGCCTGTTTCTCCCTCTGCCTATGTCTCTGCCTCTCTCTCTCTCTCTGTGTGTGTGACTATCATAAATAAATAAAAATTAAAAAAATAATAACCATAGGTGGAAAGGCCTCTTCTCTTGGATCCACTTTTCTGTGCCTTTTCTTTCAGATTACATACTAGTAGCTTGGGAATCATTAGGTATTGGTGACACCACTCCAAGCCATGCAGAGCCAGGCCTTCTTGGTGACAGGCAGCATTTTCTGGTGGGAGGACGGACAGGAGTCCTCAGGGAATGGTCCAGAGTGCCTGAGACCCTCCCAAAGGCTCTAAGAGTCTGATTCTCTTCAGCCTATTTGAGACTGAAGAGGAAATGGGGCAGCTGTCTGGTGAGTTCTGGGTTTCAGGTACAGCTGAATTTCAGTATAGTTGAAATTCTGCTCTTGAATTCTGTTGGTCCACGGGAACCTGCTTCTCCTGTGTAAGCATGAGCTCTCAGGGGAAGCCTCGTGGGGGAGAATGCAGACTTGTGTGGGTATGCGCAGCCACGTAGATGTCTAGTGAGGACAAGCTGGAGTTTGTGGTGGGCTAAGGTGTGCCCTTCTGATGTTGCTCAAGGTATAAAAGGCAACATCAGGATTAGATCTTCAACTAAATAAAACTGTGTCCTGGCTTTTCAGAAACTGAAGATGCTGCAGTCCCAGTCCCACAGTATGATGGAGTCTAGTATCATTTTTCGGCTGGATGAATCTGGGGAGCATTTCAAGCAGAATCAGGAGATTCGGGCCCTAAAGGAAAAAATGGACATTGAGGAGAAACTCAGGCAGACTCAGGAGTTCGAGGTACTGAAGGAGAAGACAGACATTCAGGTGAGCTGGTAACTCTTGCCTTTTCTCTCACAGCCAATCATGTTGTTCTTTTTTTTTAAAGGATTCATTCATTCATTCATTCATTCATTCATTTTATTATTTATTTATTTGTTTGCTTGTTTATTTATGATAGACATAGAGAGAGAGAGGGAGAGGCAGAGACACAGGAGGAGGGAGAAGCAGGCTCTGTGCTGGAAGCCTGATGAGGGACTTGATCCTGGGACTCCAGGATCACGCCCTGGGCCAAAGGCAGGCGCTAAACCGCTGAGCCACCCAGGGATCTGAATCATGTTGTTCTTAACAAAGTTTCTCGGTTTTGCTCTATGGTTTTACAGAAGTTGAAAGGTATCAGGTTTTGTATTTACAGACCTCTGCCAGTACGTGAAAGCACTGGGTAGGATTCCTAGGGTTCTCAGGTGAGGCTGGTGATATACAGGGGTGCAATAGCAGGTTTACCCGGGATCTTCTCAAAATACATACGGTTATGCCCCTTATTGGGTACCTTTACCCTCATTTTGAGTCCAACCCAGTTGAAAACAACTGTTAGGAAGTGTGACAGTCTCCTGGGTTTGAAGGAGTTTGCGGTGGGTCTAAGTGGGTGATGGTAAATATTTAAAAACCACTCTTGGGACCTAAAAAGATTTAATTTGTAGCCATTGCCATTTTCCATGGTGTAACTTTTCTCCTGGCCGATTTCATGCTGCCCCATTCTGAGTCTGGATATGGAGTTGGAGAGGCTGTGCACAGTCTGCTCTTCTGCTCTGGTCACTGCTGGATGAATCTTACAACAGTCCAGCTAGACATGGTCTGCACCGCTGATCACTCCATGGCAAGGAAGGGCTGGCCATGGGCACCGTCACTACATCGGTGCTTCTGTTTCTGCTAAGATTTGCTAAGAAAGAGCTTAAGGTCTAACTACTTTACAAGTTTCCCAGTAAGAAAAGCTAATTTTTTTCCCCCTGTGATCTCTGTTTACATCCTTTGCCTCATTTTCTATTGATTTCCTTACCAATTAGAGAGTTTGTATAATATATGGAACTTAAACCCAACCCTTTCTCATTCTTGGGGTTATTTCCCCACATTGTTCCTTTAATTTTGTTTATGGTGGTTAGGCCATATGAAATTAATCATGTTTGTGTGGTCCAAATGATCAAATAATCAATCTTTTGTTTATGGACACCCTGAGGTTTAAGAAGAAAATGTTTTTGTGTTTTCTTTTACTGCCTTTATGGCCTTATTTATTTATTTACTTATTTATTCCTTCATTCATATATACCTCTTTACTGAGCTATGATTGGCATGTAAAAAGTTGTACATACTTGATTTACACAACTCTGAGTTTGAGGTAAGTATTTACCCTTGAAACCATCACCACCATCAGATCACAGTCATATATAGCCATCACCTCCTAAAGTTTCCTCCCATCATTACTATTATTATCATTATTATTATTATTATTATTTTCATTGTGTATGTGGTAATAACACAACATAAGATCTATCTTCTTAGCAAGTTTTAAGTATGCAATATATCTGGCATAACAGACCTTGTTCCCTTTGACCCTAACCTCTTCATTTTCTCCCCGTCTTAACCCCTGGCAACCACCATTCTCTGTTTCTATGAGTTTGATTATTTTAGATTCCACACATAAGTGAGATCATACAGTGTTTTTCTTGTCTGACTTATTTCACTTAGTGTAATGTCCTTGTGGTTCATTCATGTTGATGTAGGATTTCCTTCTTTTTTAAGGCTGGATAGCATTCCAGTGTATGTATGTGCCATGTTTGCTTTATCCATTCATCTGTCAATGGATTATTAGGTTTCCATATTTTGGCTATTGTGAATAATGCTGCAGGGAACATGGGGGGGGTGAGTATGCTTTGAGATCCTGATTTCAGTTTTTTGGATCAATATTAAGAAGTGGGATTGTCAAAGTTTATGGTAGTTTTATTTTAAATTCTTTTAAAAGATCTTATTTATTTGACTTTTATTTATTTATGATAGTCACAGAGAGAGAGAGAGAGGCAGAGACACAGGCAGAGGGAGAAGCAGGCTCCATGCACCGGGAGCCCGACGTGGGATTCGATCCCGGGTCTCCAGGATCGTGCCCTGGGCCAAAGGCAGGCGCCAAACCGCTGCGCCACCCAGGGATCCCAGATCTTATTTATTTGAGATAGACAGAGAGAGAGAGAGAGAGAGAGTATATGAGCAGGGGTTGGAGCAGAGGGAGAGGGAAAAGCAGGCTTCCTGCTGAGCATGGAGCCCAATATGGGGCTAATCCTATGACTCCAAGATCGTGAGCTGAGCCAAAATCAAGCTTAACCGACTGAGCCACCCAGGTACCCCTTAATTTTTTTAAACAGCAGGTAAACAGGTTTATTAACAAGTATAACTCATTTATATGTGGGAGATACTTGGGGAAAATGAGTAAGTTGGTTCTGAATTTTTTGAGGCACTTCCACTCTATAGCTATTTTCTATAATAACTATACCAATTTACATTGCCACTAACATGGTATGAAGGTTCCCTTTTCTTCACATCCTGACCAACACTTGTTATATTTTGTTTTTAAAAAAAATAATAGCCATTTTGACAGGTGTGAGATGATATCTCATTGTGGTTTGATTTATATTTCTGTGCTGATTAATGATGTTGTAGGCCAACTTAGGGGAAATGCCTATTTGGGTCCTTAATTTTTTTTTCTAACGGAGTTGTATAAGTTCCTTATATTTTGCATATGAACCCCTGTCAGATATGTGGTTTGCAGAATATTTTCTCCATTCCATAGATGGTTTTCCTTTTGGATAGAGTGTTCTATATATGTCTGTCTGGTCCATTTGGTCTATAGTGCTATTCAAGTCTAGTGTTCCCTTATTGGTTTTCTGTCTGGATGATCTATCTATTGTTGAAAGGGGGCCATGGAAGCCCCATGCGCTTACTGTATTGCAACTTCTCCCTTTAGTTGTATTAATATTTGCTTTATGTATATAGGTGCTCTGATGTTGGATGCATATGTATTAATAATTGTATTCCGTTGATGAATTGACCCCTTTATCATTATATAGTGACCTTCTCTGTCTCTTGTAACAGTTTTTTACTTAAAGCATGTGTCACCTAATGGAAGTATAGCTACCCCTGTTCTCTTGGTTACCGTTTGCATGAAATATCTTTTTCCATCCCTTTGGTTTCAGACTATGCGTGTTCTTAAAGTGAGTCTCTTAACAGGCAGCACATAGCCAGATCTTGTTTGTTTGTTTGTTTGTTTGTTTGTTTTTTAATTCATTCACTCACTCTGTCTTTGGCTTAGGGAACTTAATCCATTTAAATTTAAAGTAATTATTGGTAGGTAAGGACTTCCTATTGCCATTTTGTTAATTGTTCTCAGATTGTTTTGTGGTTGCTTTGTCCTTTCCTCCTCTCTTGCTGCCTTCCTTTTTGATTGGATGATTTTATTTTAGAGTGGTATGCTTTGATTCCTTTATCTTCTGCATATCTGCTATAGGTTTTTTTGTGATTAGTATGAGGCTTACATAAAATATCTTCTAGTACAGTGGTCTATTTTAAGCTGATAACAACTTAATATCAGTTGCATATAAGAACTTCTCATCTTACACTTCCCCGTGTCCACAGGCAAGCCAGTTGGATCTGCTATGCCAGCACCACAGGCTGATTCAGCTCTGCCCTTTCCCTCAGTTCTGAGAGGGACAGAATTGGGCCTCCTGGGCAGCATCCTGGGAGGCTGGGGCAGTGGTGCTCCCTCACTCTCTCACTTTCCCCTGTGGGGAAAATTGCGGGCTGAGAGAGTCTCTCTTGGCACTGAGCTGTGCCACCTTGGGGAGAGCAGAGCAGATGTAAGCCAGTGAAACTTCTCTGGAATGAATCTATTCTCAGGTTATTTTTGCTCCATTGAGGTGCTAGAAACTCTCTGCTGGATTCCAGGGCTCCCATAAAGGAATCCTCACCTGTGGGCGGTTTGAGAGCTGGAACCTTCCATTGCCCCACCTTGCTGATGTCACTTTGGTTTTTTAAGTTTAAATCTTTGACGCCCCTACAACTTATTTGGCTTAAGATACGAAATAAGATTCAAGATCGTATATTTTTCCCCCAGGCAGTTAATCACCTGTTTGAACTCCATTTGTCAATAATCTATCTTCCTTCAGACTAAGATTTCATTCCCGCCACCCCCCCTATCTTTGGGCTTTCTATTCTTTTCACTGCTCTGCTGAATCACGAGCCAATACTTTTTCATTCCTTAGCTTTAGAGTATATTTTAATATCTAGAGGCCCAGTTGTCAAACAGTTATCTTTTTCAGAAAACAGAATGGAAGAGAAAAATGAAGGAACTGCAGAAAGAGCATGCAGCTCAGAAGCGAGAGGTAGCTTGGCTTGGGTGGTCTGGGGGGAGCTTGGTTTCCCGAGACCTTGTCTCATCCTATGGCACCCCCATTCTCCAGCACTACCCTCCTCGAACTGGTTGGTTGGTATTTTGTTGCTGATAGCTTTCCTGGCAGCTGGCCCCTGTCAATATTCGGAAGGAGTCAGCTGCCTGGACAGCAGCCTACCGGACCAGGAATTGGGGCTGCCGAGGCTTCTCTTCTGAACCCCAAATCTGCTCTTCTCTGTGGTCCCCTATGCAAGGACCCCTTCAGGCCCTCCAAGGAGAGCTGTCCTGGAGACTTCAGAAGAATTGCCTGGTCATTTCATGTTTGGGCCCTTTGACACCACCAGGAGAGAACCGGGTGGCTGTGGACTTCAGCTATATTCAGGGGGAGTCAAATGGAAGGGCTCAGATACGGAGCCCAGGGATCAGAGAGCAGCAGGCCTCAGGATGAGAAAACAGCTTCTATGAAAATGCCCCCAAGGAGAAAGCAAGTTGAGGAGGAAGCCGATTAACCAGAGCCCCAGGAGCTGCCTGCGGGAAGCTCAGAAGATGACAAGTGCTCAGATCAGAGGCTAGAGCGTGATAGACACCTCCGTTTCCAGTAATTCCCATCTGATGG